CAACAATTAATGTAAACCAAGACTGTGCCAGAGCTGGCCAATTGGCTTGCAGGAGACATCTGCTACCTTTAAAGAATTTGTTCCAAAAGGCTCAGGCCATTTCCAATTTGTGGTGACCTTTATCAGGCTTCCTCTCGCTGCCTTTCATGCCCTTGCATTCTCCCTTGTGTGTTCCTGCTCTTTTCTTTTTACAAGAGAGGCTGTGTCATTCCACACCTCTCAGATAAAAGCATTGTATTTGCCAGTAGGTACTTCTTCCCAATGCTGCTCAGTGTCGTAGCATGAGAAATATCACACACAGCTTGCCTGCCACTCTGATCCCAACTTCTCAGTCAGTTCTCTTAATCAAGTCTGCAGCTATGGTCTATGTTTCTCCATAGAACGGACTAGGCTTCCAGAAGCACATTGCCCCAGAATTTATTGTTTTTAAATTTTTTTCATCAAGTCTGACATTTTTACTGTACTGCTGAGGACCCAGAGTGGTAAATGTTCTTTGTCATGATGTCATTATCATCAACAGGCAACGGGTATAATTTATTAAAGACAAATTGGCCGTTCACATTTTTAAGTGAAATTGCCTTAACCCCAAAGCTTACTGTATGTGGAGCCTTTTTAGTTTGAAAAGAATCCCAATCATGTACAAGGATGATGAAAAAAAAAAACACATTTTGCTTGCACATGATTGGATGATGAAAGTCAGCAGAGTTTCACTTCATTCACTATGCTTTGAGGCAAATCGCCTTGCAAAGTGCAAAAACTATTTGTGTTTAGTAAATCAACCCCAGTGAGTTTGTAAATTGTCAGTGGTCAGCTGTTAAAAGTTCACCTTTTAAAAAAAATAATAGATGCACATCTTTTTGCAGGTAAAAAAAAAATGTGTATTTATTTATTTTTTATTGAGAGCCTGATAAGCATTGCACCCATGTTCAGCAGATCATGGGGACAATGCAGGGCTCTTTCAGACTGTCAGTGTAAGCTGTGTGCTCATACCTTGTACAAGCAGGCAGTTACACAATGACAGGAAGCATCAATGAACTACCTATGTCACTCACATTGCTAGTAGTTCATTGAGATCTACAAGCCATCAGCAGAAAAGGCTGATGGTAGTTGAAGTTTCCCATTCACAGAACCCTGTGAATGAATGACAAGGCCACATGGCTGCTCCTTTTTTAATTTGTGACAGAGGGTGCAGGGAGGAGATCCCCGGTCTTCTGTCACAGCAGGAGCAGCTGCAGCAGTAACATGCTACATGTTACACCCTGAATGAATACAGCTGTAATATGTAACATGTTATACGTAGAAGGTGAACTTATCCTTTAATACTTCTTGCGTCTTCTCACTCAGTGGGATCGATTTACTAAAGGCAAATAGACTGTCCGCTTTGTAAATGAAGTTTCATACTGCAAGGGAATTTTTTGTTTTTAGAAATTTTGTGTTTAAGCTTAAATTGGTTGTAAACCTCCGAAATGAAACATGAACAAATCATATCCCTCTAAAGTGTGTACTAGTCTCAGTCCAAAGCATCTAGTGTGGTTCATCTCTGATCTTTCCTTCTGCATGAATCACTATTGACAGCGTAAATTGAAACCAAGCAGAAGATGATTGGCAGCCTCAGATGAGACTGTGTGGAGGTGTGTCCATTCCCTCCACTCAGGTCTCAGATTACACTCAACTCTGTGCTGCGCAGTGTGTTACACCAGATCCCCATGCCTTCTGGTTCTGTGTGCTTTAGAAGGCTGTAGAACAGATATGCCTGCAGATAAACAGGCACTGTGTATATAGGAGAATTTGCTTCATATCTATGTATCACATGAGGCTAGTAACTTCACTGGGTTCATGTAAGGGTTTACAACCACTGTACCGAATGTGGTCAAATTCACTTTGCAAAGAATCCACAATCACATGCTAGGAAAAAGAAAAAACAGCATTTTTGTTTGCAGGTGATTGGACAATGGGAGTCAGTTTCACCTCATTCACTGAGCCAAGGAAAAATTCCCATGCAGAGTGCAACTGCACTTGTAAAGTGAACAGTCTGTTTGCCTTTGGTAAATCAACCCCAATGACAGATGTTTTATGCAATTTTCACACAGTCTAGCGAACAATAGAGTGAGTCATTCTGAAGGTCTTTAACCCCCCTGGCGGTATTCCCGAGTGTAGCTCGGGGTAAAGTTTCAGCACCATATGCGGAATACCCTGCAGCGCTGCTCCGGGATCCTTTCTGCACTTACCTTGTCCTTCGCTCCTGCGATGTCCCCCCTGCAGCGTCCCCGGCCATTTCCTCTGGCTGATGCCGGCATCTGTCTTCCGGGTTCCGTTCCCTGCGACGTTGGGACGTATGGGGACGGAACTGGCAGGAAATTTAAAAATGTCAAAAAGTGACATTCACTAAATACACTAAAATCACATAGTAAAACATTACTGTATCAAACCATTTCACATACATTTTGTCCCGAGTGCTTTGTCCTGTGCCCTGCCTGCATTTGTACTGTTCTTTCTGCCTGGAAACTGAGAAAAGTCCATGGCGTCCAAAAAGCATCCCTTTTGGTCAAAAGCGGTTTTAGACCAGCTAGAGAACAGCGATAGTAAATTAGAATCACTTGCAGAATTGAGTGATAATGATTTGTGGGGGAAATTCGTCATCAGACACTGAAAATTATTTTGCGACTTTGCTCAGTGATGTGCGAACTTGGCGCTATATTTAAAATTTCAGTATATTTATATTATTGAAATACATTTATTATTAAATTATTATTTTTTATGATTATTTATTAACTTATAATCTATGATTTCGTGTTTCAAATTTTAACATACCTGGGATATTTACTAGACTCTTGTTTGGACAGATTTCAGTGAGTTATTCCTAAAAATTACAGGCCTACAATAAAAAAAACAACATATTTCCATGCAAAAAAATTTACTGCTTTGAGCAAAGAAATACTGACATAATTAGACTGCTAGGGAGGTTAAGAGAAAGTGGCTTGTTCACATTTGTGCAGAGCCTGATGGTTTTCTGCACTAAAAAAAAAAAATCTATCTATCTATCTATCTATCTATCTATCTATCTATCTATCTATCTTATCTATGTATCTATCTATCTATCTATCTATCTATCTATCTATCTATCTATCTATCTATCCCAACTATATATATATATTCAGAAAACAATTGTTTTCTATATGCCCTGTTCACATCAGAACTCAGGCAGGTGCAGACCATTGCTGTGCTGAAAGCTCTCTATCTCTTTGTGATATCTCAAGGAAGTTAGGAAAAGAAAAAAAGTAAACAGTACCCGCGTAGGAAAACGGATCATTGTATTTGGTTGTGGTGTCATACATCCAGGAAAGTTCTGGCTACTTCACATTATGGTAACCTTAAATTTCATTTACTACCTTTAACTCTAAGAGCTGCACACAGGCCCCCAAAATAAGTGAATGGAGATGAAATGGACTCACCCACAAAGTCCAGTGTGACAGGTATGCAGGGACTTGTACACAGCCTCTGTGTCGGGGACTCCTGTTCCTGTGTACTGTCAAACTTGGTTGTATGGGGGAGTCTGTACAGCCACCACATTTCTATTCCTTTACTTGGGCTGCCTGCATGCAGCTCCATGCTAGTCCAAAGTGATAATTAACTGGCTTTTCATGCTTTATGGGATCTGTGCCCATTGGAATGAGCCCTAAAAGGTTAATGCAGGTACTTTTGGTAGTTGTTCTTAGGAAATCATTCGTAAACCTTTACTTTGTCATGGCTTTTTTTAAGCAGTAGGGGGGAATAAACCCTTCTAACCCAGCCTGTGACAAAAAGGTAATTGATTCTAAAGACACATTTATTACCCCTAAAGATATTTTTTTAAATACCGCTTTGACTTTTTTTTAAAAACTGAAAATAGACATTAAAGTTATCATTAGATTTCTAAACCTGTTTTCATATCATATCTTGAAGACATACACAGTAACAGCATAAAAGGATGATGAACTTTACGATTAACCTTTATTGCGTGGATGCTTTATTATTTTAATTACAACTAAGACAAGAAATATCACAAAGTTATAACCAAAAAGCATTAGTTGCAATGATTATGAACATAAAGTGAAACAAAATAACATTGTTCTGTGTAATATTTGTAAAACCTTCATTCTTAGTTTTTTAAATGTACCCTTTGGCTCCATTATGAAGATTCATTCTCTGTATCTATGATACCGAGATACAGCATTCATAAATACATCTAAATATCCAGTGAGTTATTAAAGTTTTATCAATGCTTGGTACCAGGGGCGGACTGACAACTCATGGGGCCCCCGGGCAATAGGGGATCATGGGGCCCCTGTATCCTTGCCCAAACTCAAAAAAGCCTATGAAAAAGGTACCAGGGGCATCTCATGGGGCCCCCTACTGACCCCGGGCCCTCGGACAGTGCCCGAGTTTCCAAATGGTCAGTCCGCCCCTGCTTGGTACAGATATTTATTGTGCAATTGTATATTGTATGTTTAAAAAAGGTATTGTACTTTAAAGCCGCAGTCAAACATGGTGTGTTTAACCACTCGCCTACAGGGCACTTATACCCCTTTCTGTCCAGGCCAATTTTCAGCTTTCAGCACTGTCACATTTTGAATAACAATTGCATGGTCATGCAACACTGTACCCATATGAAATTTTTATCATTGTTTTGAGACAGATAGAGCTTTCTTTTGGTGGTATTTAATCATCTCTGGGTTTTTTATTTTTTTATAAAATGTTGTAAATACGTGATTTTTTTCCTTCACTGATGTGCGCTAACGAGGCTGCAGTGATGGGCACTGATAGGCTGCACTGATGGACACTGATAGGTGGCACTGATGGGCACTAATGAGGAGGCACTGGTAGGTGGCAATAATAGGCATTGACAGGCTTCACTGATGGGCACTGAAAGGCAGCACTCATATATGGCACTGATAGGCGGCACTGTTAGACGGCACTGATAGGCAGCACTGATGGGCACTGATAGGCGGCACTGATGCGCACTGATTGGCGGCACTGATTGGCACTGATTGGCGGCACTGATAGGTAGCACTGACTGGCATTGATAGGTGGCACTGACTGGCATGATGATAGGTAACACTGAAAGGCAGCTCAGATGGGCACTGATAGTGGCATTGATGTGCACTGGTAGGCACTGATATGTGGCACTGATATGGGACTGATGGGCACAGGAAGGTGGCATTGATGAGCACTGACAGTTGGCACTGATGGACACTGACAGGTGGCACTACTGGGGCTACTCTGATCATCAGGGCACACTGATCACAGTACCCTGATGATCAGTGTACATGTCCCCTCTGAGTAAAGCCGATTACCGCCTCTCCTCTCGAGCTGTCAGCGTGACAGCTCATGAGGAGAGAAATGCTGATAACCGACATTTCCCTATTTACATTTGATCAGCTGTGATTGGACACAGCTGATCACATGGCCGAGCCGACATCTTCGGCTCTTTCTGTTGATCGGTGATCCGCTGTGTCTGAGGGACACAGTGCACCACCGATCGCCGCGCTGCGCACTCCCGGAGCCGCTCATGCGCGGTTAGAATGGGAGGACGTCATATGAACGAGAGAACCGCCTTGCGCCCATCATTACCTTATATGACGGGTGGGAGGCGGTTAAAGACACCCTGTCACCAGCTTAAAGTGGAAATATGGTCTAAACCTATATAATCTTAAACCTACTTGTACCCCCATTTTAATTCCTATACTAACTACCCTGTAGAGGAAAGATGTTTATGCTTATCTATTCCCTGGGCTCTGGGTCACATGATCTGCTCCCAGTGCCGACTTCAGGGTAGAGGAGGGACAGCCAACAATGGATGCCCCATATTAAGCTTATGGGTGATGTCACTGCCCAGGAATTGCAGCTGTTGTCACTGATCACTCTGCTCCCTTGAAGCTAGGCGCTAGGGAAATCACGTGACCAGACCGGAGCACCCAGGGAATAAGTGAATATACACACCTTTCCTCTACAGGCTCATTTAATATAGGACTTATAATGGGGATGAGATCATTTACTACTTGTATATACCAAAAACTTGAAGGCAGCGCTCTTTAAATTAATATATTTCTGAATGAGTGAACTCAACAAGATAAATAAATAAGTAATGGTATAAAATTATTACACCAAGTGATATTAAACAGAACAAATCAATGTGAAAAATAACTCTGTGAATAGACAAATACATTAATTAGTATCCAACAAAAAAGTTCATATAAATAATAGTGTTCATAAATGTAATATTCGTGAAACAAAAAATCTTCTTTAATGCTTGTATTATGTTCTTAAATAATGTGACCGAAAACCATAGTGAGAATCCACCACCAAATGAATTGAGTCCACTCACCAGAGCTCCATGCTGGTAAAATTATAAACCAGCTGCAACCGCTCAAGCTCTGGGATCAACAATCTGCAGAAGCATACCCCAGCTGATAGAAACTCCTTCAAATAACAATTGGCTCCTCATATATTCAGAATGGGACATAAAGGAAGAAGAAAGGAATCCACACAGTGTAAAACCATCCAGGCTTTTATTCAATACACAACATGTTAAAACCACTCACATTTGTCACTGTCAAAGCTGACACTAGCATGTAGTGCATAGAACATAGACAATCACAGTTTTGCTCCGATCAACCGCAGCTCACCTATACGTGGTGACATCACCTCCGAGGCCCCACCCTACTCATTTTGTCATCTGACGTCCTCCTTCCGCACCTGGAGGACATCAATTTTTCACATTGATTGGTTCAGTTTGATATCCATAGATAGCTATTTATTTATCTTGTTGAGTTCACTCATTCAGAGATATATTAAGTTGAAGAATGCTGCCTTCAGTTTTTTGGTATATTTATGCACCTTACTTTGCAAGGGTAAGTTAGCGGCTCTTCCTAAAATATGTTTTATTTTTGTGATATTGTTCCCAGGGGCGCTGTCCTTATTCTTATATATAATTCCTTAGCATAGCCTCCTCCCTCATTGCACATCATAGCTCTTATGGAAGTTTCAAATTATTTTCTGTGCTGGCCAAGCTCCTCCACCCCTATCTCTACTAGGGAGGTTTTTGCAGGTAAATAACATGCCTAAAATATGTATTTGGGGAACACAAAACCATGAACACTGTGTTGCTGGCAATGCCGGCACTAGAAAAGGTGAGTATTCACTGGTACTTATGAACAAATGCGGTTTTAAAGTTAAACTAATGCACCCTGGGTGGGGTAAACTCTTGCCATAATGTGCAAGTATGTACATGACACATTTACTTTACAAAAGTGCCCTCCTCTAGTGCTGACCATTCCAGACTGTAAAACACTCACTCCCTGCATCTACCATCTATTCCGCTGTCTTTTTCAGGCCTCACATTGTTCTCTTCAGACATGGGGTGGCCACTAATGATGTAAATCCTGTATATGCACACAGGAGTTACATCATCTTCAGCACTCGACTCCTTTTTTGGCATCCTAAAGATTCTATGAATAAGCAAAAATTGTACACTGCAAATTGCATCAGTATACATAGAAACAAAAATGTTAGGGAAAAGAAGTAAACTTTGTATATCTCTTCTGCCAAGTACCTGAATTCCTACCATTTTTTTATAGTAAGAGCTGAGTTCTGCTTTAACAATAATTTTTTCATGACAGGTTCACTTTAAGTGTACAACCTGAGATTTCTTGCAGGTCTCCTGCTAGCTAAATCATTTTGATTGTTAGTATTTCTAAGTTCTATGTGATCTGTAATATCCTGAGATGAAGGTTGCTCAGCACAGAATGATGTAACATGAGCCTACACTATTGCTATGAAACACTTTAAATAGACAGCTTCTCATGCTGTGATGGATCATATACAGTGCCTATAAAATGTATTCACTCCCTTGGAAGTTTTCATGTTTTATTGTCATAAAACATTGAATCACAGTGGATACAATTTATCTTTCTTTTTACTGACTGAGAGATATAGACTCTTTCAGATTAAAGAGAAAACAGATTCAACAGTTTCAATTAATTACAATGCAAATATTCACAATAGCTGAAATGCATAATACATACATACAGTATTAGCTGAGCTTGGACCAATGTAACTATGTATATGAAATACCTGGCAGATGCTGCTGGAAGCTGGAAATCACTGAAGTAGATGCTACTCTAGTGAGCTCCACATGCTTCCAGGTCTCACACCAAGTGGCTGCTGCACTGTGAACCCAGAATATCAGCCGCTCGGCACGAGCACCATTCAGAGAGCGCTTTACATTTTCTGAATGAATGCAAAGCGTTGTCTGATGGGAAGACGTGGAGAGACTTAGTGGTGATATCATGCTTTCCACTTGGTCCAATCAAAGAACGCTTTGCATTCATTGAGAAAATGAAAAAAAATTCTCTGAATGGCTGTGTGTGTTGAGCAGCCAACCTTCTGTATTCACAATAGAATCAGGCCAGCCGCTTAGCAAGGAACTCAGAAGCAAGTGGAGATCATTGACGTAGTGGTGTCTACTTCAGTCATTCACAACTTCCATATATGTTTAAATATTGTTTGCACTGAAAGCAAAACACAACAAAATCACCCTTTCCATGGACTCCCTCAGACATACAGTTTGGTACAACACAGAAAAGTTAAATGCTATTCTCCCTCAAAATAACCAAAAAGTCACACTCAGCTTTGAGTTGTAAAAATAAATTTTGGTCCTGGACCAGCCCATGTAAATTAATCTTCAATATCAATATGGTTACAAAGTGCTTGTAGTGTGGCTTCAAGCTGGAGCCTTCATGATCTCCTTGCCAGTGCTCAGAGCACAGGAGCAGGCATCTAAGTGCACCAATCCAGAAGTGTAAGCATACCAAAGCTGAGATGCTGCTCAAACCGACCCAATGTAGTCATGGTGTATGACCTCAGCCAGCACTGCTCTGGCCACGCTCCCGATGTGTTTCACTCCACCAACAGAGTGTCAGAGGGCATGGCGGGAGCAGCATTATATGCTTACACTTCAGTATTAATATGGTAAAGTTTAGAGGTGTTGATGATTGTTAACAGATTAACTGTTTTTCGTTATTGGGTTTATTTTGTTTACTCTGGCTATTCTGTGTAAAATACTTTTAACAGCAGCCATATTTTGCAACAGAGATTATGTTATGAAAAACTGTTGACTTTGAATGCAGGGGGGATATGCTCTCTTACCATGCATTAATTCCACTGGATCTCCAAAACTTAACTATTATTCTATCAACTCATAAAATAAAAGATAAATAGTAATTTAACTGAAAATAGAAAGCACCCTCTGTACTGTATATTAGGGCACCATTTACCTAAAGCTTAATATAAAGAATTTTGTGCTGCACTTTATTTATAGTATATGTACTCATCTTAGCTCTAACACGAGTCTCTCTAATCTACTGTTACTTTATCACTCACTTTTAGCAAGAATCTTTTGCTCCTACCTGCTGCAACTATCTTTCTTGCACATGCTGTGGTCTCTTGCTTACTACTGCTTTGATGTTTCTCACATGTGCTATGGCATCCCCTACTGACATGTGCCATGACATTGTTTAGTTTATATCTACTGTAACCTCTCTCATTTACATTTGCTACAAAACCCCTTACTCATATTAGGTGCACTTGTCTAGAGCCTATCATTGACAGTAATAAATGTCTTGGGTCAGGAACTAGATGAGACTAGAAACCACAGTAAGTTTTTGATGGAGCACTCATCTTTGGAAGGTGGCTTGTAATGCACTGTTTTGTATACCTCCTAAACATTGGTGGTTAGCAGCCTATTATGCACACCTATAGAGATTATATTTACACTTGTAGTCACAAAAATTGAACACTTTCAAGTTGTAGCCATGCAACTTAAATTAGGTATAAACAGGTTCCTTTTGATTTGTTGCTGTGCTTCATGGTCACTTGAGCTTCTATGGCTATACAGGTGAAACTCAAAAAATTAGAATATCGTGCAAAAGTTCATTTATTTCAGTAATGCAACTTAAAAGGTGAAACTAATATATGAGATAGACTCATTACATGCAAAGCAAGATAGTTCAAGCCGTGATTTGTCATAATTGTGATGATTATGGCTTACAGCTCATGAAAACCCCAAATCCACAATCTCAGAAAATTAGAATATTACATGCAATCAATAAAACAAGGATTGTATATAGAACAATATCGGACCTCTGAAAAGTATAAGCATGCATATGTACTCAGTACTTGGTTTGGGCCCCTTGTGCAGCAATTACTGCCTCAATGTGGCGTGGCATGGAAGCTATCAGCCTGTGGCTTTATGGGGATGCTGACTTAATTTTCCAGCAGGACTTGGCACCTGCCCACACTGCCAAAAGCACCAAAACCTGGTTCAATGACCGTGGGATTACTGTGCTTGATTGGCCAGCAAACTCACCTGACCTGAACCCCATAGAGAATCTATGGGGCAT